TACAAAATCTATCATCTTTCATATTTCCACTGATACAAAATCTATCATCTTTCATATTTCCACTGGTACAAAATCTATAATCTCCCTGATTTCTACTGATACAAAATCTATCATCTCTCCGCTTTCCACTGATATAAAATCTATCATCTTTCATATTTCCACTGATACAAAATCTATAATCTCCCTGATTTCTACTGATACAAAATCTATAGTCTCCCTGATTTCCACCTACACGATTTCCACTTGTACAAAGACTATCATGTACTTGGCTTCCAGTGATACAAAAATTACCATCTACTCGGCTTCAACTATTACAAAACATATCATCTACCTACCCTTGTGTTGTGTGTGGGATAAACACGAACAACAGCACCGAAACTATCATTGCCTAAGGCCACCATTAACAAGGAACTGTGCAAGTTCAAAACTTTCTAATACGTACCTGATAACAGTATGCATCTCTCTGTGAGAGATCTCCTTGTCGTCTGTGAAGAGGATCGTGTGGTAGGGTATCGCAGGGAGACAGCTGGGGAGGATGCCCCCAATGCTGCTGGTGGGAACCTGCGCTAGCAGCCCATTATAAACGAGGAGATCGTCCACAAGCAACTGCAGTAAACAAGATAATACCAGCATCAAAATGTTTTACAAATTTTATAATTTACTAACCACACGTATTAATATTAATATATGTGCAGAATTGTGTTTGGGAAACGACACCATACAACTTACACAGTTGAGAAATATGGTATAAGACGAGTAGTGGCCTGTATATAATATACATAGGTGTGTAATATATATACATAGATTGCTAATAAATTAAAGTATAGTTGTATCAGCATGTAATGTGTACTGCTGTCATTTCACAAAGTACCTGTTCTTTTCGTTTGTGATCGTTTACATTTTCAATATAAGTATACACTTGATGAGTCATCGCAATTGCCTTGTTAAAACTCACTGCAAACTCTTTCACGCCTCTCTGTGGGGTCTTTGCGTAATTCCACAACTTGATCATTGATGTGGTGACAGGATGATCAAAAATCACATACACCCGGTTTATCTGCAAAAGAGCAGGTTAAGTAATTTTAAGGAATCACACTAAAGGCAAAGACACACACGCTTTGTATATATATATATATATATATATTATCAGGAGTGAATAATACTAATAGAGATCTCTATTATTCACTCCTACTGTTATATATAGTTCATATTGTGAGTGAGCCATGAGCATTTTAAATAAGAAAGGATAAGTAACCTCATTACATCAGTACATGTCTCAACATGAACCAGCAACACACTGAAATACTTTCACACATCCGCAGTAAAAAGGTAGTGACGAATGATCTGGTAAATATCTGGGTGTGCATTACTTACATTATTTGGAGGTATTGGTGAAAGCCACATGTGACATCCATCCCGTGTGTCGTTAATGCCATCTATGAGCTTGTCTGGTGTACGGACGTCGTTGCACACATTGTCCAACACATTAACACTGTTAGGATAGGCAGTGATATCTGAAATAGTGGGAAAAAAATGCTATACGTTTTTCACTCTTAAGCGGCGTCTACACTATGCTAAAACCCGGGTTTACCGTATCTACACTGTTGCTAAAACCCGGGTTTTAGAGGTGGGTTTTGTAAAAACGCGGGTTTTACAGACCCGGCAATATTGACGGGTTTTGCTCTGCTAAAACCCGCGTTTTAGTCGAGCGCCGTAGTGTAGACAGAACATGACAGAAAACCCGCGGTTTAGCTGCACGCCAGACTCGGCTACAGGTGGCGCAACCATACCGGGGATATGCTTGATACAACTGAAATACTTAAAACCCGGCATTCACGGAAGGTGGGTTTTTGACAGTGTAGACGCTGCAACACCGAAAACGCGTGTTTTACTAAAACGCGGGTTTTAGTCTATAGTGTAGACGCTGCACCACCGAAAACGCGCGTTTTAAACCCGGGTTTTAGTCTATAGTGTAGACGCCGCTATAAGAGCCGACAAAATGCCTCGCCTAGCTGCAATGATAAAAAAATGTCAACACGAAAAATTTAGCAAGACATACCATTTCAATTTCATTGAGATTACAGTGTTTATTAAATACTAGCTCAATCTGTCATTACCAGAAATATTGCTTACTGTTTTGCGTCAGCACTATTTTCTGGCCAGTCAAATCATAGAATTCGATGCCATTCAGTCCGACATAATACGGGTCACCCCAAGTCGAGAGCAGTTGAAACTGGAACACAACTATTCATCATAGTAAAGGAAACTCACCGAAATACGAAGCAGAAATAACTGACAAGCACGCGAAGCCATCATTTATGCAGCTAACTTAAGCAAACAGTGCCTATAGTAAAATCAGCGCATGATGCACTGTTTCTATACGCCTTGTCGCATAACGACTGCAAAGGATACACCCACAGGGCATTGCGATCGGCTCATAGTCGATAGACACTGTTTGTGCTGTGCTGTTCGCTCTCATCACCTGCTGTTCCATCATTAGTTCTGATGGACGCCCGGCATACGGTTGCTCCTCTGTGACAGGCTCAGCAGGGGGAGTCACCGGTGGCTTATAGCGACACAATAAACACACATAAATAATCTTATAAGTTATCTTAGATGTAGCGAGATTAATCCAAGTGAAATGATGACAGACAGTGCATCATCGATTTTCCCAATCGCCTTGAATATGAACAGAAATAGCTCGTTTTGATTAATATAATGTTACTGGAAGGAAACATATGGCTTTCTAATCAGCACTGTTGACAAGTGCTAGAATAACTGACACCTTGTAACGAATATAAGTATATAACCTCGCCCACAAATTCATAATAGTCTGTCCAATTTCACTGCACGTTACTTTACAAAACGGATTATCAAAACCTGAACTCGAAATTTTACCCAACAACAGCCTGCCAAACACACTTTGGTCACGTGGAAATACTATTAAGTGTGGCCAAGAATTCTGACGCCAGTAACGGCAGTGGAAATGGAAGAGACAGCAGTAGATGTTGGTATTAGATGCAAATCCAAAGGAACATTAGCAACAATGAAAAAAAGAAGTAAATCAACAAATAGTATGAGAATTTAATAAACACTGATGGTGAAATGGCGTATGGCCAGGCACGAGTGCATATGTGCATGGTGCAAAAACTCCCATTACACCCTCTTTGGCGACTGAGGTTTGAAATTGTAAACAACTTCTGAAGAATGCAGATAATTTTCAATCGAATCCAATCAAATCAAGCTTTTTAATAGTAAGCAGCAGGGATATTGGACAAACTAATATAAATTTGATAGCGAGGTTCTATAATTAAAACAACAAATGGTGACAGTCGTGCTAGACATTGTAAACAGCGGGGATTAAATAGCCATATTTTCCCTTCAATTCTAAACAATTTTTATCACGGTTCATTAAGATTGAATTAGTCGGTACCATGACAGTTGCATTACCAGATTTTTGAAAAAACTAATGTCTTGAGCAAAGTCGAAAAAGCAGTTTCCCGGTCCTTTTCGGATTAGGAAACCCTCGGGTGGAGACACAGCGTTCCCATCAATAGTAGCATGCATGATCTTAGCCTGTCAGAAAGAAATGTTTTACAAATTTAATGTACGGGTATTATATTCTGCATTTTATTCAAAACATTGATACGTATTATTGATAAAAGCCAAATGGAAAAAATCGAGCATTCATTTGCCAGTGAAGCATCTTGTATTGCACGACGTTGAACCTATTTTAGGTAGTAACCATAGAAATGTGATAATATGATAACAGGATAAGTTGCCAGATAATGTTAGAATGGCTGCCTGGTCTATTTCTGCCGGTACAGTATCATGGTTCATACAGGACTGAAATTTTTTCCAAGAACTTTTCAAGGACATTTTATCGGAAATTCAAGAACATTTTATCAGACATTTTATCGGAATTCATACACAGAACAAAACATACGTGGATTAATTTAATAACCCCATTCTTAATCACTGCATGTCACCTCTAAAACTGACCTGGATCACATTAATAAACCCTTCTAAACACTGTCACTTCTACAACATACCTTGATTTACTGACTGATTTTACTGACTTATGTAAGGATGTTTATTTCTACCCGTGATCGCATCAGTGGTTGCTCGTGAGTGTGTTTAATACACCCTTGCTAGCGTCTATGTGAACGAATGTAAGAATGATAGATAAGCACAGTATGACGTATTCATGAATAACTTTAATTGACACTACTTAATCTAGCATCCGCCCGTAACGTGGCGAATGAGTACAGTGTAGTACGCGAGTAAACCTCACATAACTTACGAGGTATAAGTTGTCAGTCACTGACTCTAACCAAGATGCCTGTATGACTATTACAATAGCGCTCTGCCTGTCTCTCTCTGGTCGAACACGCGGTTATATACTGCCATAGGTAGACACGCCTACCTATTGTCTCTCGTCAGTCCGTACTCATGCTTGTCTATAATTGGCCTAAATCTATCCTGTCTATTCCCGCGTTACGACTTTACACAGCTGGTCATATATGCCAAACCAGAACAATGGTTATTCCTAGCTATTTACTTATCCGTCTTTCGACGTTATTACACTTACTGTAATTTGTGATCATCATTTAACTGTCTATCGTGTCTATAGCTTTAAGCTCATTTAACGCAATTTTTATTGAGGTTTGCACATTATTGATGGTGCAAAATTTCTTTTTATTACAGGCAAGGATTCTTTCTAAAAATTCAAAGAAATTTTCATGAAATTCAAGGACTTTTCAAGCACAAAATCAACATTTACTAAATTTAAGTACTTTTCGAGGACTCCCCTCAAATTCAAGGACTGTTCAAGGACTGTGCAAACCATGAGTATGATGTTGTGGAATGTGGTATCTGCACATATACCGTATACAGCGATTTACTTTGTTAGCGATGATAGTATGAACTGCTGTGGATGCCCATGTTTACTATGCAGTTGCAGCTTAACAAAGAGACATAGTCTTGAAAGCTCACAGTTAAAATATATGACACCTTTTGCTTATACCTTTCTGTGTTCGCGTGTGTGTGCGTGTGCGTGTGCGTGTGCGTGTGCGTGTGCGTGTGCGTGTGCGTGTGTGCATATGATACATATCACTAATTCTCTAACACTCACCCCTCTGTACGTGTCTTCAGAAGATTTGTTATAGTTCCATAAACGCAGTCCGGTCAGGGTGATGGCATTGGCAAATGCAATGGCTATGCGATGATCCTGTGTTTCAGTGAACGGAATCAGCCACATATGTTTATCATTCATCGTGATGTTGGTCCCATCCACAAGCCTGCAGACATGACACAGAGATACAGATACGACACTGAGATAGAGCTAAAGCTACTGTACAGCTACGTTCAGTAAGTAATGTTAGTGCCCATGCTAACGATGGAAGCACACACGCACTAGCAAATATTGATATTCCCAACTGGTATCAGCACCATACAAGATGCAACAAAAACAATGATGTACTGTATTATAAAACAGCCAAACAAGTAATATAGAAGGTATAGATAGCATAGACATGTTGTAACCTTCTTTGCCTGGTTGTTTTTTGCTGGTTGTGAAGAATTCAATAATTATTATTGCAGCAGGGAACAGTACTATTTAGTACTAATTTATCACACTCAGACTGTCAGAGGTAAAGCAGGCTCATGCTAATCAAGTAACATAAACAGGTTTTACCATGATTCTACCAGAAGAATACAATACACACAGGGCGTAAAACTTGATCAAAGCTCATGAATTTCCACATGTTCATCCAATGATTTATCGAGTACAAGCAACTATAGTTTCTCAATTAGAAATTTGCAATGCACTTGTGCCTACGGCCACTGTGACGGTAAGGTTTCTTTCATGCGACTATGTCCTGCTTACTTGTCGAGTGTTCTGACGTCATCCTCGATGCCAGCGAGGGTGTTCAAATCTCGTGGGTGAGCGTCCATCATGTCAGCACCCACTGGCAACACCTCACCATCACTGCCCAGCACCTCCAGTCCTGACAGGCCCATATAGTGGCAATCACCCCACGTGGCCGTGAAGTTAAGCTCTAGACCTGCATGGACCCGAAACAAAATGCAACCAAGTTGGGTGCACATCGTGTTCTTGAAGTGACTACATCATATTTACGTTAGTAATATCATGAATATATTTATTCTAATACATGTTGAAATAAGAGACACTGACCAATTGCAGTTGGTGGAAATGCCTGTAGTGGAATATAGTGGACACGCACGCTGCACAATGTGCTTTTAGAGGTTTCTGCTGTATTCAAACGTGTTGCTGTTTTTGCATGCTGTATGTATAACTGAATTGTTGTATAAATGAAACGTTACAGGAGTGGTGAATTCTGTGTTGCTCTATAAAAATTTCATTTTTTTTTTTAGAGAGAATATAGTTGAATTATTGTGAATTATAATAATAATAGTATCAATTATTGTTATTTTAACAGATATCTTAACTGTAAAACTAGTAATCAAACAAGTTTTAACAGAAAAGACTCCTCTAGCAAATCCCACTTACACTGGCCCTTACACATGGGAAAATTGTTTGCTTTGGAGAGTGGCAACGCCTGTGAGCTGCTCGGATCACCACGCTTGTTCTGCTGAATACCACTGGAAGCATGTCCAATGGACGTGAAGGGACGTTCCTCCTTCAAGGCATGCAATGAAAAGCGCATGTTTAATGACCGGAGTCAAACAACGACAGCAAATGTTTCATACATCCATCTCTACACATGCGCACGCACGCACTCACGCACACACGCACACATACACACATGCATACACACACACACACACACACACACACGTGCACTCTAAACTGTGCGCTATGTATCATCAGAGATTGACCAAGATCAGACATCCCTAATTATCATCTGCGGCAAGAGCCCGCCATTACCTCCTCCTCCCCGGACCCACTGTCAGCTGTTTTCGGCCGCTCGTCACACGCGTTGTCCTCCTGGGGTTTACCATAGAACTGGTCCTGCTCGTACATGTCGTCATTGTTGGCGATAGCTTCCAATATGTGCTCATCTGTTGTGAATAGGATCGTCTGCAAAGAGGTCACATGTCGGGCATTGTGCACACTATGCATTACAGCACTTACAATTATGATATTATGTCACACTATGGTTTATGGTTATGCTTGATGTTGTTAATGTGATAATGATGGCAATTATATTAATGAACAAGGGACGTTAATGCGGCACATTTCAGGGCATGTTACTCTAATATAACTTGCAAATACATACGACTATCATTTCGGCAGTGCCTGCCCATTGGCCTAAGGAACCTGGAAACTACATCCCACATTGCCATGTGCCACACTGTTCAGTGCTAGGTTAGCAATAGGAGGAAGCAGGGAAGTAAAAAACGGGAGGGACAGGGAATCGGGATGGTAGGATTAATGAGAAGATAGTAGGGATAGTGATAGGGATAGGAAGCAGAGAATTAGATGTAAACAGGGAAGAGAGAGATAATGGAGAGTAGAAGTGGAATGAATAGGGGTAAGAAGGTGAAGCAAGGTGATATAAATTGGACGCGAGTAAGACACAGAGATAATGGAGACAGGAGGCTGAGGGGGGAGCCTCGGAGACCCTGAGGCTGTACAGATTGAGATCAGAGAAGGCAGACACATGCAAACAGGTGAGGGGCAGAGTAAAAAGAATTGGGGAACGAATGAAACAATTAATGCACACACATGATTAACATGAGGCCAAGGAACAGATTGTAACTTACATCACCAAAAGCCTCAGTGCCATCTGCCATGCCCCCCCATGCACGCTCAATCTCGCCTTTGAATATGAAGTCATTATTAAGTGTCATCTCCATGTATCTGGCACCACGGTATGAATGAATCCTTGATTTGTTGTAATTCTGAAGAAGTCACAATGGGTGTATTGAAACATCTATTTCTCACATCGTTCAGCGTTACATGGTTACTGCGTAAACTCAAACTTTGAGCCAACTTATGAATGCGTGCGCGAGTACGTAAGAGCGCGCGTGCAAGTACATGTGTGTATTTCAATTTGAATTATTCCCAGCACTCACCCAAACTCTAATCATGGCTATTTTCACTCGCTTCTCAAACACCATGTTAATAAAGTGGTGTTGCCCTTTCTTGAATGGAGCAAGCCAGAGGTGCATGTCGTCACGCGTGCGATACACACCATCTATCAAGTTGGCAGCAACACGAGGATCCTTGCTGTACTCTGGCAGAACATTAATGTCTGTTGGGTCAGCAGTGATCTGCAATGTTAATTATCTATGATTAAAGTCAATGCAGAGTTGAGGAATGTTTAGCATGCAGTAGCAGCAATTGTAGTGGACATACACCACTTAACGATTAGTTTGTTGCTTGATTTACCGCCAGTGATAATCTATACTGATTTCATTCATGCACGTTTTATCTGTTACTGCGCCATTCGTTGCTGTGGCACTATCCAGTGCTGATATCATTTAGGTTGTTGAAGTCGCAGTCAATGTTGATCAGCACAATGTTGATGTTAACTTCCTATGAACACTACATATGGTTTCAAACGGAGCAATACGCCGCATTACGTATCGTTAGTAAAGTGGTCATAATTTACAAATTATGTGTGAATTTATGTAACCTAGGTTTCCGTAACACGGGGTATCACTATATAATCAAATCCATACAGACAAACCTGCACAATCTTAACAGGCTCGCCAGTGCTGCTAAAGATTTCGATACCATTGAGACCAACGTAGTGGCGATCGCCCCAGGTAGTGTGAATGTCTATTGTAAACTGCTGCCCCTCAGGTAGCTCAGGTATAATGAACTCTGACCTGTGTGAAGAAGATGGATACAATGATAGACACACACGCAGGGGAGTAACTGTCAACATGCAGATAAAGTGCCAATGCAAGCATTCTTTGGTATACATGTCACGTGTCGTTACTTACTCTTGTGCTAGGTCTTCAACAACTGGCTTCTTCTTATCTGCAAGGTAGAGGTCCATAACGTCATCTGTAAAAACACAGCCGACTGTTGATATTGCTCGACGGTTCACAGTGATAGAGAGGGGATGTCAGTGGAGATGTCAGTGAGAAGGGGCCCATTATAAAATTAAATTCCATTGTCAGTCTTTGTCATTGTCATTCTCCTTTTTCAGACGGGAAAACATCTCATGCCAATCTGCCTCGAATAGAGACAGGTCGTCTTGCAAAATTTGATTAAGAATTGGTGCGCACCTTCGATGCTAGTAGAAATTCGACCCTGCTGCGAGTGGTTGAACTCGTCTAGAGAACTCCATGACTCCTCCAGCATCTTGTCATTGTGATGCCGCCATAGTGTGCGTGTTTTTGGCTCACTTGATTGTCTACGCTCGCTCTTATCTGCTGCTGTCTCCGAAACATCGACCAGACGTTTCTCGTCTTCCAAGCTGCCTGCGGGCTCTGTAAGGTGCAGACACACTCAATTATTGCATTACAACGATCATCACTCAAACTCAACTCTTACCTGTGCGAGCACAAAAACTCAAGAGCTTACGTACTGATATTGACACAAGACACAATAATACGGTTGCTGTACAGCGTCGATTCGCAGAATATTATTACAGGTTTTCAGAAGAATGTTTGTAAAATTGCGGTTTACGCATTGATGAAACAGGAGGAAACAATAGATGAAATCTCACACCTGTGCCACTGTTACGAGACCTACGGCCATACGATGCCAGTCTGTCTGCGGTAGAGTCCATGTTCAACATGGTGGGCAGGTCGCTCTGAGGCCAAGTGTACACTTTCTCCATGTCTGGATCTATAGTAGATGGACGCGATTCCAGAGGACTCTCGAAGGGCTGGTCTAGCTCATCAAGATTGCATGCAGCATAGGACCTCAACCACATTGGCTTTCCTTTGTCCGACCTACAGAAGAAATGTTAAAATCATTATTAGTTGCAAATAAGTGCCGCTGAGCGACAGCACTAATTAGACAAGGCCAAGAGATTCTACGTGCAGGTGTTTGCTTGCACTAAGCTGCTATATTTCGTCAAATTACGATGAGTTGGGTTTTACTTTAGAGTGAAAAGCTATGTAAGGACATTTATGTTGCCAGCTAACATATTTCTTTATTGTATCATGGGCTACAGCCTGGTCAGAACTGCTGCTGAGATTCATTCACTGACGATGCTGTTTCCACCCACTGTTGAGGCCACCCACGGCTAGAGCTAACAAATAATACGATTTAAGGAGCTGAAACCTTGTATTGTTGAAGTAATTTTCTCTTTTAAAACCTACCAGTGAAATTGTGGCCATTCACATCAACACAGGTAGCTAGAAAAAGTATCTCAGTCCTTTGATAATGACCTTTCACCATTAACCCTCAGATTCGACTTCCCAGTGTCATTTCGGATTGTCCCCCTACTTCCAAATTATCAACACCGTACGTCGCCGTTTATACGGGTGTCCAGATTATTAACAGATGGACGGACCGACAGAGAGACGCTTACGCGATTTTACATGATGCTGCACCTGCCCGATTGTGTCAGATAAAATAATCAAGACTTCTCATCATATTGCAAAGAAGTGGGAAATCACTTCTACATCTTCATGCCACCTTCCTGACTCAATTCACCACCTTCCAACGTTACACCAAAACTGAGATAATATGACGTAAGCAACTACTATTAATTCTAAAGGCTAAGCACAGCACTAATCCTATTATTGATGTGCAGAAAACCTCTATCCTCACCGTTCTTGCTCCAACTTTACAGGTACGGTGTCGAGGCCGGTGGACGGTGGCCGCATCACGGCAGGGGTATGGTTGTCGATCAGAGGCAGTTTCATGCTGTCCTGGCTATCTAGATTGGAACTGCGTACCAGTGGCCGTTTAGAAATTCCAGGCTGCGCAGCCAGAGGAAATGCCATTTTTGTCTCTCCGTTGCTACTATGAATGACTGGTCTTGGTAGGTTAGCATCCGCTTTAGTGACGATGAAACTTCGCCGAGTGTCTACGATTGGACTAGACCTAGTATAGTAGAATGACTCTGACCGCTGTCCCATGCACAGTGGCTGCGCGTTACTCGTAGCGCTCACAGGTTGCTGTGCAGTGGCGACGCTGGACTCACGATGCCCAGCTACCGATTTCCTGCCAGTGTCATCGCCATGCAAACACAAAGTTGTCGGTTGTACTGCACCCGAAGCCTTGACTGGGTGCACAACGCTGGAACAGCTCTCCAGGGTGTTCCCGGTGCCATCATTACTCTCATAGTCACCATCTAGAATGCACCGCTGCAATGACGACATGTCACCTTGGTTGATCCGTGTCGTGTGACTGCCTTCCGTGTTTTCTAATACCTGCATGTCGTGCTCACACTCTTCGCTGAGGCTCTGTATGACGATGCTTGTGCTGTAGTCAAATACCTGGTTGCCACAACCCTTTTCTACCTCTCCATCGTAGACCAGCCTTCCACCCTGGAATAGCCTAATGTTCTTCACTCCGATGCTCAAGTCCTGCAAGATATGTGCTAACTGTTACTTTCAGTAATTATTTGTACTTGTAGAACACTATGAATACAAGACTGCATTACACCACAACCAGTCACACATCTAGTACATGTATTATGATCATGAAATTATACACTGCATTCGATAAATGTTTGAAGTAACAAGAACCCTTGTATCACACATCCTCTCGTTTCAATTTTCAAACGAAACTTGCTTTGTGTACATATTGTATAAATATTGTTTTATGTATATTCATATATATACCTTCAGGTTTTTATTGTAATTCCACAATTTAATTTCTGAAATTCTGAATTCAAGTTGATGTGGATGAGGTCGTAGGAAGATGGCAAACTCAACGGGTCTGCTGGGATGATACGCACACGTCCACATGTTGCGTTCCTTTATCGTCTTAAAATTATAAAATTAAATCCTATGTGTCTTATGTATGCTCTTTCCACCCCTATATTATTCTGTTAAACACAAATCAAAACACTGCAGCGATTTAACGGTACAGCAAATGGACCCGCAACAAACAACAATTTTACGTAGGATAATCACACTTTGCACCTAGAAAAATTACACGCATCTTTTTCATTCAGTCACCTTGAATTTGCTATTAAAGATGTTCGTTATATCCCCTTTCACGTCGGTGGCACCCGAGACAACAACGTCAGGTGGTTTCACTTCTATATGACGCCCATCTTGGTCAAATAACTGCATCTCAGTCAAGCCGATCCGATCAGGATGCCCCCAGTTACTGCACACCTCAAGGTGCAGTTCAACTCCAACCTCATCATCCAAACCACGCAATTTCCTCCAGGAATAAGCTAAGGTCCCTTTGCTCCGCTCATCAGAGAACATTATCTTCTGTGAAAAGAAATACGTATGCAATATTGGAAAACGTTTTTCTAAGCAGTTTTTACCATGATTACAACCACTTGCCTTGACCTGTAATTGTTAGTTGTCACATGAAATCAATTGTAGCAAAATTAGAAGACATTGTCAAAGTTGTACTTATTATCAGACTGCCAATATCTTTATACTATGACTGAAAACCACGAACATATGCAGTACCATGAATTATATATGTATATATATCATAAACATTTTAAAAAAGGCTAAAAGTCTAACCCTCCTTCCCATGAACAAATGGAGAAAACGGCTAGCAGATAGTGCAAGCTTGACATGGTAGTAAAGTGCATTTCATGGCCCTTTAAAAGAAACTACCATATTTCGTCACTCCTGTGCATTAGATGCACTACATATTTAAAATGTAATCACCTGAACAAAAGATTGACTGCATAATAGCCCTCCCCACCACCAGGTATATGTGCAACACAAATAAAGCCACACCACGTTTTCTCTCTCTAAAATTCCCTGTATTTCATGACCTCTCCTCTCTATCAGCATTGGTTAGCACATACCAGATCGATGCTATTACAGTGTATAATATACGGTACCATGCCTAAATTACCTTAAATTATACAAGGTATAATATATAACCTTAAAGTTATAATAATGTCCTCTACACTGATCCTCAGCTTATAGGTTGCAAGTTGGTTTTTGGAGACATTTTATTATTATTGAAACTATTGAACAGGACTATTGAAACATGGCTTCACTTAGCTACGAAATGTCATTTATTCTAAATATGAAGAGCTTAACAGAGGTAAACTTATTAGCTTTGTGGCAAATTGGTATCAGGCTTATTCATGAGTTTCCACTTACAAGTATAGCCAACTCGCAGCTTTGACTAAAAATGTATTTTCCCCTTAATTGCTAAATACTTCAATCCATAATTAGGCCAATTAGATTCATGCCAATGGCTGTGCTAATGCTATTCTTAAAGGTTAATCTAAGCTAAAAACCTGTAGGTTTAGTGGGAAGTTCGTCAAGTACCGATCACGTCTTTACCAACTACTGTTTATAGTAATATCTCAGAAGCACGCATGCTGGCATGGCTGACTGTATTAGCAAATAGCGAGTAACACAAAATCTAATTAATGCAAGCACATTATGTGCACTTATATTGCTACACCAGAATAGCTGCCATAAATTGATACATGAACATGTTACTATGACCTGTAAATAAAAACCATTGACATTTACACACCAAACCAATACCAAATTCAGCTATAATTTATCAATTTATACCAAATAATGTGTGCAAAAATACTACATTAACCATATCCTACCTTGCTTTTTGATAAATACCAACAGTCAATCCTTCTCATATTCTGGTTAATCCTTCTCATATTCTGGTTATTCTGGTTATTTTATATTAAACACAATATACTTCCACTTGTTTTCATATCGTTCATATCCTCGTCAACATATCATACTTTGTGAACGATAAACACCCATCGTCTCTCTGCATCTGTATCAGGAGCCATAGAATTCCACGTGTGTGCGTGTCAAACTAGAGACTGCTGTGCGTATTAAATAATGGATGATGCATCAGATAGTTGGAACTAATAACTGCGTGCGCATACATGATTACCACATTCTAGCAACTGAACTATTCTCAGCCAGTGTTCGTCATTTTAAGGAATTAACGTGTGTTGCTATGGAAACTACAGTGCTGCCTGCTTACGTCTGTTCAACTACGAACCTATATATACTGAATGCAAATCTTGGTTCATGGTTCAACACAGTTTATTACTTTGCACGAAGTGCAGCGACGCCAGGGTTCTCCAAGCTTTTTTATTATAGCATGGCGGGTGCTGCCTTTACGGTCCTAGTTGCAAATCGCCGAAGGCGGTTTGCGTGCTATAGGGGGGTCCGGGGGCTATGATATTTAGAGCTGCGGGTGCATTTTAAGATGGCGGGGCTCGACGATAACCTGGTGGGCCGCCAGGCTATAAGTGCTCTTGGAGAACCCTGAACGCGTATACAAGATTTATGAAATGTTTTGTTTTCCCTTTACAGTTTCTGAATGAGTCAAATTTCAGACCAACAAATGAACTAAGAGTAAAAACTAATTGCTGATGACACTGACAAAATGAGACAATGATTCATAAAGAACTATTTATTCTGACTGCAGAAAGTGAAACTATTAAAGGTTGTAAGAGGTTAATTGCTGTGGACATGCCAAAGATGTGTTTCATTTAAGGCTTAGGATAGGGTTAGGGTTAGTGTTAGAACTAGGATAAGTGTTAGGGCTAGGGTTAGGGCTAGAGTTAGGTAAACTTCAGGTATTTCATTTTTTTCAACTTTAAGTTTTGCCATTTAACTATTATATTAGCACTTTTTTACAGAAACCTATATATCAAACATTATAGGTAGTAGACAGATAATTTCTTATGGTTCTAAGGTTAATTTCTATCAAATTCTAAGGTGTTTAAAAGTTACTGTTTATACAATATCTTATATTATAGTATTAAGGCTATAGGGGTTAGAGGAGAGCTACTGTTTACTGGTCAATTGCACAAGGATATTTGACCCTTATAAAGCCCAATATTGAGATTGCAATATTGCAGATTACACCTATTCCAAAAATAGCTTTTAGTAGTCAATAATTATTTTACATAACAATTTTTACAATTAAATAACAATGAGAAATAAAGGAATGATTCAGGAATTTTGCGTAAACATACAATTATGACAGACAGTGATGGGAAACAACTATAAGATTTTAATGAGCATAAGAGTGAAACTGAAATAACTTCAAATGCTGAGCAAAGTTCTTCTACAGGCTAAATCCATTAACTATCACTCACAGACTTCCCGGCACTTGAAGGTGGTTTTACAGCATCATGCATGTCCGCCTTTATTCCGGTAATGCTCATGTGAGAGAGTTGCTTCTCCTTTGCAAGTGGGCTCTTCACAGGACTTTTGCACTTGGCTGTACTACAACCAGGCATCCTACCCTCTATAGAAGGTCTTGGGTAGAGGTTAGGGTGAAATGACTTTGTTGTGGTGTAGTGATCTACTGTCAAGGACGAGGGAAAGGGAGGAGGAGATGCAGATGACAACGACATCTTCTCTATCTCACCGAGTGCTCTAACGAGACGTTTCTGATGCCTGCAGAACCAACACAACATAAATTAGTTTAAAATTAAAGTTGGATAATTACATGAGAAAACATTACGCTGGAGACTTGGGGGAGACAGCTGGAGCATGAAGAAAACACTAAGATTCAGGGGCCTGTGGAAACAAAATTAGTCTTAATATTAGTCTTAGCACAATTTTTTTTTCCTAGTAGACTGGACCTCTACACACTGCGTAGACGAGACTCGTGACTTTACGATGTTTCTATCCACAGTCTACGAAACAATGTTAACGTTAAGACTAATGTTAGGACTAATTCTGTTTCTGACAATAGGCCCTAGACCTTTAAAAAATACAATGTCTATCCAAGCTGATTTAGGGACTCATAACTGCTATAAATGCATCTTTGCGTACCCTCGCTGTATCTGTTCTGTACCCCCATCAAGAACTTCGTAATAATTCCATCAGATTTCATGATAATATCAGAGTAAATTTACTTTATGATAAATCCATGTATTTAACATGTTAGAAACAGTTTCGACAACCGATCTAGTCGCCTTTGCCAGGCTGACTGAAGCTGCTCGAGCTTTCACCGATGACCACGCTCAAATTTGATCTTACACCGTCGACACTGTTGTAGACAACCTTGCATAAGTTTATCTATCATTCACTGACCTGCTGTCCATCATGAGCACTCTCTTCATGACAGATTGGAGGGTGTAGTCATCGAGACTGCTTCCTGTTAGGGATGGAGATGTGGAGGTTGCACGTGCCTCCATCTGTCCACGCTGCCCAGGTGCAGTCATCGATGTAACTTCCACCTAAAACACCAACAGCACGGCTTCTCAGCAGCAAATAATAAGCTGCGATGGACCTGCGCCTAATAGAGCCAGTCCAGGCCCCTATTTAATACACAGTCACAGCCGATTCCATTGCTTTATAATTTCTAGCTGAATAAGTAGCTAACCTGCAGCAAAATTAAATACATTAGGTTAACACACCGACTTGGATGTCATGCCACCACGGTAGTTTTCTGCGGCTTCATTCTCAATCCTGAGAGCTATTGCTACATCGGACGGATCAACAGAGATGCCCCCTTCACCTTCCTTCTTCTTCACGGTGGCAATCAGTGGACGAGACTTTCTACCGGTATTTTCTAGCAGAGTTAACAAAAAAAATTGTAAGAATTTTCAACTGCATGACTTGAAAATGTCTTCAATGCAAGACTATGATACTTTACGAATGAAATGAGGCTTAGGATCACTAAAACACAAAAATTGGCCTCAACTTGCAGTTAATCATTCGATCATGTACACACCTGTCATTAGGTATCATTTGAAGAAGCTGTGTCTAATGCAAAATTCCTACCTTTCTTTGGTAATTCGTTAGCCAGGTATATATCATTGACCAGGTGAGAGAGATCGTCGTCTATGGATTCGCTCTGTACAGACACAACCTGCTGCATCTGGTTCTGCGGCTTGTTGAACTCCAGCACAATCAGACCTTGCTGCTCGGATTGAGCATGGCTATCATACTGAATCACCTCAGGAATGCTATCCTCCCCTTCCTCATCTACTTCTACTTCTTCACTCTTTTCCTTGACTCCCCTCGCCTCTGCACTATTCTCAGAAGACTTGGAGTCCTGTCAGGAAAAATTTATGCACATTACAGAATAAAAGTCTTTCTTGTTGAATTATTTTTGTTATAAAAGACCCTCTTTTTGTTCTTTACTCCTCATGAGAGCTAGCCAATAAGCTTCAATAAACATATTGCATTAGCATGAGAGTTACTCTGAAATGATCAAGACCAAGTAAAATATACTCACACAACTGCTCTCGCTCAAAGTCCTCAGCAGACTTTTCTTTATTTCTGCATTTCCTTCCAAACTTTCTCTGAGCACCTAAGTTAATTGTACAGTAAAGATTGATATAAGAAGATACAGATGTACTTAACGCATTTAATTAATTATGGCACCGTAGTTGAAATTCTATCCCTGCCACTCAGCAGTGATGCACGAACGTTCAACAGTAGCAGAGCATTAAACGAGTACCTTACAATCTTCAAAGCTCAACATCAACTTGTCTTCTTCATCTACTGACGAGACTGACTCTTCAACATCCGCAGATGAAAACCCCTCATCTAACTTGTCACCGCCTGGTGACGACGTCGAGGGCGGTGAAGTGTGCGTATGTTCATGCGGGTTAGTGACTTCAGGGCCCGTAAATTCTGTTAGCAAATGACCACAGGTTGCCGGCTGTGGGCAGGGAAACACAAGTTAGTTTTACAGCAGAAACACATAAGCTTGCACATGAAAACAAATTATATTCAACGTATCAATAAAGTTCTATATTTCAGAAGTGGTTGCAATAGTTTCTTACTAGTACTAGTACAATTCTTTCATAAAAATACTGTCTGCTAGTGCTATCAAGGAAGAGCTATTTACACCATGCCACACAATGCACTCGTCTGTCCAGGCGGTTTTGAATCAGAACAACTATTCATAAGCAGATAATACGAAGATCATTTTTTTAACCAAGCCATCTGGAAATTACCACATCATGCATAATGCATATTATCACCAGCACATAAAACCTAGAGTGAACAATAATACAAACTGGATTTTATACGAATTCCTGCTCATCTACAGAAATATTACAGTCCAGAAAAAGTCCACATCCTCACTACAGCACTACATGCAGTTAGTGGGTAACCTGCAGTCAAGCAGAGCAGCCTGAAATTATGAGCACTGGGTGGTTAATGGCATAAAATTACGTGTACAATCACAACCTTATTTGAGTAAATGCATATAATATATAAACCTGCATGACATCATGGGCACTGTCACGAACGACGTCGCTGCTCTCCCCATCCTCAGGTGAGTCCTCCTCGTCAGTCACCAGGGACGTCTGTTCCTGCGTCATCTGCTCCGGCGGCATCCTCGTGGTTGGGTTCCATGCTTTTGCTAGAGAAAAATAAGTGAATTCATCGTTAATTATAAATTGATTAAAATGTTAACCTAAAATTAATGCAGCGCTGATCTCAAAAAGAGCAAAACCGTTATATTTACTAGCAATATCCACAATGATTATGTGATATAATTACAAGGAAATGTGTTCAAATACAAAATCTTAATGGGTAAGCGAGGTAAAGTATATTTGAACCCATGTACAAGTTTTCCCAAAACATCCACTAAACAAAATTTTACAATCATAAAACTTGCCTGATATATTTAAACTAAAAGTTGGTTAAATATTATTTAAAGCAATAATAAATCAAGAAACATAAATCACTCATTTCGACTTAAAAGTAAGCATGGTCAGGTGTGACGTATATTCTACGAATATGAGCGGAGCTATAGCAATATGCTACACCTGATTACAGTTGAAATAGTATAAATCTGTAGAAAATGGGCTACACGCACCATCTCTATGAAGAAATATTGCAAGAACATACAATTACAGTACTGATACATACATAGATAAACTAGACAGAGGGCACTCACGGAGAGTGCATACCTCCGCCAGCATGTACAGCACGAAAAGAGGAACACATGAAGACACAAAGACGATCGATCGACAACATGTACACGAAAACACAAACACACAAACAAACAAAATAAATCCCAATATTCTATACTTTACTCCATGCATTGATCACAACTACATGGCATCAAGACGGATGGACACCATATCATGGTCTGAATAGTATACATCGAGAACCTCAGCAGCTACACCGACAGTTCTAGTTGCAGTTTCTAGTAGTTCTAGCTTGTAGTAGTAGAATCGCTGAAATATTGATTGTTGCGCGCAAGCGAGCGAGCTGCTGCTGCCTGGACGTTCTAAGGCGAGCTGCTGCTGGCTGGCCGGCCTAAGGCGAGCTGGTGCTGAATCGATCGCGCCAACGCGTGTAACATGTATCGTGCTCGCTGCTGGCTACACACACACACGAACGCATCACACGAGAGGCATCACATTACCTCCCCTGCAACTCCGTTGCAGCGGAGGTAATTAATACGTAATCATAACTGTAGACTGTTGTAGTAGTGCATGGATGTTGTGTGCTGCATAATTGTAATTATGCACCAAGTCAGAATTAGCAGCATGGTGGTGATAATTGACGGTTAAATTGACTATGTCACAAATTTTCTATGGTAAAATTTGTAAAATTGTTGTTGTCATTTTTTTACATTAAAAGTAAGAACTAACGAGACTAAACGTATCGTCAAATTCTTACCTGATAAGATTGTTTCTCAACTAGTTAAAAATCCAAAAAACCTGGACGATTTGATATTGTGTTCCTAACATTAATTGCTTGCTATGGGCTATGTATGAGTCACGAGTGTATGTTCACATCGAACAATATAGTAAAATAAGTATAATGCAGCAATTTAACCATAAAAAGTGAACAGAATTACTTATATTTTGTGAAAAAGTAGAAATATTACGGTGACGTAATCACTTTAAAGGGTACCTTTTAATCGGCACATGATATTTCCTTTTGAGTAAATTGCACTCCACTGCTACATAGTCAGTTAACAGGATACCTGGTAGTATATGCATATATGCTAGACACGTGCATATTCCTGTTATGCTCAAGTGCACTCAACATTACTTTAGGTATCCTCGTGTTTTTAACGTTAACAGTTTAACGTTAACAGTTTAACGTTAGACTCTGACAGATAGCACCACTAGTCATCTCCAAAATTAATGTGTTTCATGTCTCTTTCTAGGTGTGTGTGTGCTTTGCTATTTAATATATAGTACATCTACCCTAAAAGTATTAATACACATAGACACAATGTATATATATATATATATTTAGAGAGAGAGAGAGAGAGAGAGAGAGAGAGAGAGAGAGAGAGAGAGAGAGGAGGGAGGGAGGGTGAGTGAGATGGAGGGAGATAGCAAGAGACATTACTTATTACTTGTTTTTATTCATACAACTTACTGCGTGGCACTTTAACTTTCTTTTTCTTTCCCTTTGATGTCCTTATGGTCATAGCCTTCGGAGACCAGATCTTGCGCTGAACATTGCCAGGGGCTGTGTGGGGTTTTGGCTTCAATTGGGACTCTAGCACTTCCAGTTCCTTGTACGCCACACGTAAATGACGCGGCACATCTTAAAAGAAGAATGAATCTATTACAGTTATTCCTAATCGCATAGATATACATCACACAGCTCAAGCTGTCTAAAGTCGGATGCGAGCAACATTTAACATAACTTTCTGCATCATAACGTAAAACAAACTTAGAAATAACTGCTTCGAACGCCGATCACGTTTTCATGGGATTCACGATATACGATCAATCATCAGCATCAAGATCTTTAGTAACTGAATCGCACCCCCCTATTTTCACTACCAGCTCCATCATTATAAATCATTATTTAGCTCGTCTAACTGCTGATATAGTGGGAAGTTCAATGTTCGTTTCCTGCTACAACGACTCAACTTAATGATGGCTGCTGTCACGTTAATGCTACCACATATATATCTGCCACAATAACTCAATCACGTTCAGTCAAAGTCCTCTCATATAATACGATAATTTACTCAATGTCGCGAAATTGTCAGCAAACCAAAACTGAAGCAATGAGGTATGTGACTCGACCATTACTGCAACTAAATATGAACTTATATTACTATTAACTATATAACTTTTATATTACTGCAACTAATATAAATATTATCGGCATACCCAGAAATGACGTTCACATCCCTTTACCAACTCTACGAATGCCGAGAAAATGTCACTCTACTCTATAATACCGAAAATCATAATGTACCTGCATGCACCACAGAATTATTATTGTAATTTAGGTTTTTATAATTTTATTATTAATTAAACCTGTATACTACTATTTTGTTTAATATTTGGTCAAAAAATTAAATGGATTATACCTATTTCACAGTAAATACATTTTTACATGTATACACATTATAAGAATTTTCAGTTCTTATGTATTGACACTACATAATGAACACCAAACCATGGACACATATTCTTAGGTGCACACAGTACACAGAATTAGGAACAGAATGTTTTATATAGTCAAAAACACTATTTCTTCTTGCCAATTTATTCCCTGGTAATTCATTCAGGTAGCACCATTGCTCATAAGTTAACTTGACACGTATTCTGCCACTAGACTGCAAGAAATACTAACCTCCTGCTGTTCTGGGTTTCATAGCCTTTGATTTGTTCTGTATTGGAGGAAGCGTCTTCTTGTCATTAGCCCCGTTCACGTAGATGGAGAAGCCCTGCTCTCTGCGTTCAACGTCTATCTGATGCTTGTCCTTACTCAGCTTATTCACTAATCTGCCAGTCGAGACAAAACCAAGGGGACAAAATTAATGCGAGTCCGGAGTCAAATACTCCCTGATTTGGCATATGCAGGAGTCCGTGTGACTCCCTAAAAGTTCTGCTATACTAACAAGTTCGTTACAGAGCACGGCCTCGCGGAAATACCGTATTTTTCTCAGCAAATGTCCAAAGAAAATTTGGCAGACGTGCATCGCATGAATCTTCAAAACATGCACATGCGTTATTGTTGTTGTGCTTTAGTTTTGAACTTCAGACTGCAGACTCCCTCATTTTGCTATGGACTCCCTCTTTTTGCTACGGACTCCCTCTTTTTGAGGGCAGGGAGTCCGTTAGACTCCCTTGTTCAAACGTTAATTTCTACCCCTGCAAAACGTTATTCTACGACATGTCTAAATATAGTAAAGCTCGTTGAAATAAATGTGTGGAATGGAAACTGTCCTATTCTAACTAGAAAATTTACAAGTTTCAAGCCTGACTAATGCTTGGATTTAACCCAAGAGTTAAGCAATAAAACTCCAACAAACAATTTGTGATTTCAAATGCATTACGTGTGTAAGGAATGCATATATATGAGGTAGTCACCTGCTTAAATTATTTTCATACATGTGCCAGCTGAAACCTCAATTAACCTACATCTATAATTAAGTGAGTTATATTACCTGTTCCTCTCTTGCAACAGTAGGAGATACTCCTCATATTTCGGGGGAACTTCATCCCCAAACATTTTACACAACGTCTGAAAACAATAACATTATTATGTGTACAGTAACTTATATGTGTACATTTTATGACTCTAGGTTACAAAAATAATGTCTTCCAGAAATGACATTCGTAATGCAAACTTCTATAACATGAATGACGTTCCCATCGACTTCCATGGCGCAATTGAACATGCATTCCTACAGACTGTTTTTCAGCTAAAAAAGGTACGAAATCTGCTGACCTCCCCTTAGACAAGCACAATTATTATTCCAAGTAAAACTGGAAAACACATTCACTGACTATATTTAATGATGTAACACAGAAAAAAGAGTTCAGAACGAGAATTAGTACCCAGCTATAACTGGAGTACACTGGACACAAGGCACTGTTTGCACAAACCTGCATATTTCATACGCTCAGAGTTTCCTCTAAATGGCAAGAAAGCTATCTTTAACTAGCTGGTAATGCATTGGATAGCTGGACTACCTGTCAGACATGGTTGAAGTGAACTCCTACATGTGTGTGTGTGTGTGTGTGTGTGTGTGTGTGTGTGTGCGTGTGTGTGTGCGTGCGTGCATCCATACAGATAAACTATTTATCACTGACAAGAGAAATACACTATGAGAAGTACATGCTAGATATTACATTTATATGCCAAAGTGAATAAAAAATGGTATTTGAGGGAATAATACATGTTTGTTAATAATGTTTGTAATTCAGGGACTAATGTTTGTTAATAACATTATCCATGTTAATTCATTTCTATACATTTTCAACGTTAATCATCTTAAATGATAATTTTGAATTGTATTGATGACCTAATCATGAAGTTTTAATGATGAGCAATGCATTCCTTTAGTTTTAACTTATTTATTTGCATTCGAACTGTAGGTGCAAGAGATTGAAATGTTTCTCTCTTGCATGTACAGTTCGAACTGCACAATAATTGGAGCACATTGATTAATAAGTACCTATTAATTAATATGCTTTAATTTACAGTTCATGCTAGTATATGATCTACCCTAAATTTTCACATATAGTCCTGCTAATTTGCATTTCCCCAGACTGAAATTATTTGCCCTTATTCAGTGATACTTTGATATTGACACATTTATTTCTTGAACATTAAATAAATAAACAATCTTATCATGCAATTAAAAACTGCCACACAATTATTTATTAATCTTTACATGAATGAATTAACATAAGTCTTTATCAAAACACCTGCATACGGATTGTGTTCAACTGAAACATTATATTTTGAATACATCAACTAGTAATAGTAGTATATACCTCATGTACGTGTTATGATTGGCCTAATGCTATTCTGTATACACACCCTAGCCTCCTGGAATTTTGGCACTGGAAATGGGGAGTATTCATTGGGCAGCCACTTTTTCCGGTTCCTTCTCCCTGAACAAATATAACATATAATGCGGTATATATATGTGTAGAGTGCAGCATAATTCCAGTGTGCAGCGGCAAAGAAGTAACAAAGCATTCGTTTGACACAGTAACAGTGTAAGTGGCAATCTCCTTCTCTCTCTGCAGTGCACGTACGAACACGTGGGCAATCATTACTGGCTTGATAAGGCAATCAACCCATAGACGACCGGTTGGCGTACTCCTGACTTGCTCTAAGCTAGTACATTTGCAGGGAATCTACAGTGACATCTCTAGATCAAGAATGAAATCGTATAGAATTACTGTCACTACCGCAGATGGGGTCGTTGTCGTATCAGGTACTACAGATATGCAACCGAGGTAGTTTTAGGTTGTTTATTATGTTTATATTTTTATATGAGGTATGTTTAGGGTTAGTGTTAGGGTTAGGGCTAGGGTTAAGGTTAGGGTTAGGGTTAGGGTACACTTCTGTAGTACAGGTCTGGTACACTTTGCGTATACATATATATGTACCTCGGGTACATATCTGTAGTAGCTGATACGACAACGACCCCTTCAGCGTCACTACCATACGTAACCCCCTCATGGCTTTAGGCCATGCTTTTCTGCTCAACATATTGTTCGCACCACGAAGAGCTGACTAGAGGAGGTCTTGCCGCGCCCATCTGATCTGCATGACGACTTTGTAAAGCTGCATGACGGCAACCAAATGAGTAAATGCGCTTCCATGTTGTTGGATGAATCGTTCTGTGTTCAACATCGTTGTGGTAATTTTTTATCACTGTGCTTAGATTTTAGGACCGATGCCACACTCTTTGCTTGACTTACAATATCTTCCAGTGGTGGGCCAATGTGGTATAGGTTTTTTGGGCTATGGTAATGCTTCCTTGGCAATGCTGCCAGCTCCCCTAACTTCAGATTTCTCACGTCCAACTTGCTTATTCTTGGTATAATCATAGCATCAGCTTCAGGCTTCATCAGTGAAACTAATGTATTTGTATTAGAACATATTATAAAATACTGTGAATTTTACAGATATCATCACTACATAATTGTGTGCTAAGACCCAACTAACATTTAAAAGTTTCTTATAGAAACAGTTTGATATGTGTGTAAAAGACTGGCAAGCTATGGCTTTGCTGATGGTTTGTGGTGGCCATTTTGAATTCTTGGCTTCTGATGGTCGTATGTTGTGGGTATAATTAGTCTAGGCTTACGTAGACGCTCCCCGTTGGTTCACCCTAGAAGCCACACCAATTTGCCCCCCTCCCCACCTTGGCAGCGTGCGCGCGAGCTACAAGGCGATGGTGCTAGAAAATTTCGAATTAAACCGTAGACGCTGCCCGTCAGTTCACCCTAAAAGCCATGACAATTCGACCCCTCGCGGCAGAGTGGGTGCGAGCTACAGGCGATAGTGCCGGGGAAATTTCTAATTTAAACCGCCGACGCTGCCCATTTCACCCTAGAAACCGCGACAATTCGACCCCCGTGGCAGCGCGCGCGCAATCTATGGGCGAGTGATGCCAGGGAAATTTAGAATTAAACCGTAGACGCTGCTCGTTTCACCCTAGAAATTAGCGACAACAATTTGACCCCAGCAGCCACAGGCACTTCGAGCATTTCAATAAAATATAATGCTAAACAAGAGCCGCAGAGCATCTGGGCTCATCTGAGGTCTGTTGCTACGGTTATAAACGTAACATTTAAGTCGTGCGTAGTGAGACCTTTGTTAGGCGCAGATTTGTCCGCAAATGCAGACGTTATAACTCTGCTTTGCTAATCTGAGGGTGCGGGTTTATCGTTTGCAGTCACCCTTGTAAAAATTGTTGCAATTTTTGTTGTGGGCATTGGATAGGTGAATCAAGTAGCACTGAGGGCGTGACGGGGGTATATCCGACCCAAAATATCAAGTACAGACCTTCTGTTTGTCAATATAGCTTTCCAAAAACTTTATCTCCGTTTCAGAATTTTGTTTTCATGCAATAATTCATCCTAGTAAGAGTAACTTCGATATTTTTGGCCATATTGGACTGATTTTTCGAACGGCAAATGAAGATCACTTCCGGTAGTTTCGGGTTGACTCGGAAATAATTAAGGCTGACTGGCGCGGACTACCTACCATGTTTCCTGTTGAACATCGGGAATAGCCTAAGTAACCGGAAGTGATTTTCATTGGTTGACAAATGTGAATGAAGACAGACAATTTTCTTTGGATGTAATTGTTTATATTTACCATTAGGTTAACAACTTGATATATTGTTATGTTGTGGCCGCTACCAGGACATCATTGCGTGCATGCACGTAGATAAATGATTCAAGTTCAGATTAAAGTAAGTTCCACGCAATAGGATTGTATATATCGGGCGCATATATTACTTATAAGTGCCACCTCCAAACTGGAAGTGGCTTTCCATGATTGAGATAAACACGGCCGCAGACCCCATTACTGGGGTCTGCGTCGGCTCGGACTAGGCGCAGATATGCAGATACACAGTTGCGTACACATCATTTCAGCAACCTTCTGCATTCTGCATACCTCCCAAATCCCATTGGTCGATACAAATTGCATGCCTAAAACTCCTGTTTTATGGTGCATTGTGACCCTAATATAACCCTAACCCTATTGAAAAAATAATAATTTAATTGTTTAAAAAATTATTTGTTGTTATGAAATTGTTGTAAATAAATAATGTAAATATTTGCCTTAATTAGAAAGAAATAGTTAAATGGATAAAGATAGAAAAATACAGAAAACAGGTAAATAATAACAAATCTGATGGGATTCGATCCAAGGACCTTTGAGCCGTAATCCTGTGCTGTACCTCTTGAGCTATCCAGACATATTGGCTTTCCAGATTATGGATGTGCCATGAATATGAGAACACTGTGACATCATTGAGGCAGTTCAGAAATCCACGTTTAACCCTCCTCTTGATGGTCAAAAGGTTATCAGACACTTACTCTTCGCACGTCAGTGGAAAGCACATTTCATGGTCCTTTCAATAAATTTATAAAAATGGTTTTTCACTTTGTCCATTAGGCCATGTCCTCAGAAAATGTCTGATATCTGACCTTTCCCCCACTGCCCTTTGACCTGTGA